TGCCCCCCCCTTGTTCACATCCAAAATAAGCTCTCTCTTCCCCCTGCCATTTCTGGCTTGCTCTATTTCTGTGTGGGTCCTAAGCTTCATGGTGCGATGTCGTTCCTTTGCTCTCCCTTCTCCCCCTATTTGCATAGGGCTCAGCCTGTAGAGGCAAAGAAAAGAGGTGCTCATCAATCAGTGGGAGAGCCTCACCCTCTCAGCCCTGTCCCCTGTATTTGGGATGGGGCAGAGGGGTGTCACTTCTACATAACATGCTGCAGAGGTGAAAAGGGTGGAAAAAATTCCCCGCGCCAGGGCTCACCTACTTACAAACCTGCCCTGGGTGGGTGAACATGAGTGGAATTGGCCCCTCTGGTGCTTCCACACGAGGATGCTCTGGAGCCGCTGGCTCTGGGGAGTGCTCTCGTGTGGAGTAGTGATTTTGTGGTTGCAGCGGTCTGAGGGTAGAAGGAAGGCAGTTTCTGGGAGAGAGGCAGCATTTTTCTGCTCAGGGGGTGTCGTCGGGGCGGTAGAGGGATAGACCAGCTTCTGACCTTAATTAGGGCTTCTGTGCCCAGAGCTTGTCTTTTCCCCGCCTCCAGCGCCCGGGTTGGTGTAATGAAATCTCTGCTGCCCTCCCCGCAAGCCTTGCCTCCAGCGGGTGGAATTCAAAGCCGTGGGGCATGGTGAATTCACACCAGTTGTGGCTCAAGAGTCTGCGCAGACAGTCCGAGGGGTATTCCAGGTGCTGTTAGCACCACCCTTTGCACACCTCTTTCTTTTTCTTTCCTTAGTTAAAAGAGCTTAGTGGACTCTTTGGGGATGCGGTTGCATTCATAGCTGAAGCTAGGGGCAGGGAGAAAGAGACTTCCCCGATCCATTCACCAAGCTAAGGCTTCCTATAACTTGTTGGACTCGTGTGTGTGTCTGTATTAATACCTGCCTGTATTTTTCGTGTCTTTTTTTTTTTTTTTTTTTTTTTTTTTTTTTTTTGCATCTTTCCTGTGCCTGGCACACCCGGGGATCCCTTATTTTAGCATAGCCTATCCATTTGACTGCAGCTTCAAAGATGAGCAGTTTGTAGGCATAGGGAAAAGCTCTTTCTTAGGGAAATAGCAAGGAGATTCTTCTCTTTTTTTTTTTTCCCCCCTTCTCAAGCAGAACTATTCTGCAGCTGTGAGATAAGAGGAGCTTATTTGTGGGGTGGATGCAAACTGGCCAGTCACTTTAGGTTGTTAAGTTACTGTTTGGTGTGTATGTGGTGATGTGTTTTGTTTCGTGGTATTGAGGTTCTGAAAAAGAAATAAATTGAAGCGTTAAGTGGGAGATAAAAGGGAACTTTAATAGGAAACTCTTGATGTGTTTTGGCCAAGATGTGTTCACTTGGCAGAATTCTTTTCCCCAGTGTCTCTTGTATGGTGTTCTTTGGGGGCAGGGGACAGGAATTGTTTAATTGAAGGGTTTTTGCCTTTCTCCAGAGTGACAAGCAAGGGGACTGTCTGTGAAGAGCAAAATAGTGGGTCGTTGTAGGGATACTCCGTGAGGACCTTCTTCCTGTGGTGAGGAGATGAGGGGACTTGTTGCGGCAGAGGAACTCGTGCAGTAGATCCTCTTTGTGGAGGAAGAAAGGAGTATGATCCGGCTTGCAGACACAGCTCGACTGCTTGTGTGACAAATCTCTCCCTGGGTGGGTCACCAGGTGGGAACCAAACCCTGAACCTCTGGATCCGACATGAGGATCCCGTGCTGGTTTGAGTTAGAGGTCTGCTAACTTGAATGCAACAGCAGCCTCAAGTTCCCTCAGGTGGACAAGCCACTTGAGGCTGACTAACCTACCTTCGTATTCACGTGGGTTACACTCCTCCTTCTGAATTTTTACCCTTACTCCTTAATGGAGACAGGAAGGAAGATCTATCCATGCTCTTTAAAAAGGGTGTGGGATTGAGGGAGGAGTTTATTTAAAAGTATCCCCTTCCCTTCCCCGTAACCCCTAGGAAAAAAAAAAAACAAAAAACAGGGAAATATTCTCTGTGTCTGTGCCATGTTTGTTCTCTTGTCGTCGTGTTTTTAGAGGAGATTTTATGATGGAGTGGAAAAAGTGAAATGATTAGTTTTGCATAAAAAAAGAAAAGTTTAAAAAAAATTTCTACAGGGAGAGAGCGAGAGAGAGAGAGTTTAAAAATTAATAATAAATGCAGTGATTGCACAAACTGTAGTGGTATTAGATGGTCCTTAGAGAAAAGAGTATTTTGTAGTATCGAAGCATGTGTGTCTGGGATGGTGTTTGACTTGCTTGAACTGGAGGGAAAGGCATTCTGGGACTAAGCAGCGATCTCTGAGCTGAAAAGGCAAGTTGCATGTTGGAGGAACCCTGTCTACAAACCCTTCCCGTCCTTGCCTCCCAAGTGTTGGAGTGAGTTTCCTTCCCTCCCATACCTCTCCTGTGAGCTAAGGTGGAGTCTCCAAGTGGTTTTCTGGCCAAGCGGCCCTCAGAAATGGCCGGTCGCGTTCTGCCAGAACGTGGATCGGGCCACCAACATGGAAACAGTTGACTTACTTTGCATGCACAGCAAGCTGCTAAGATTTGGGGTTGGCATGTACCTTTCCTGCCAAGTCGCTGTCTCTTCTCTTTTCCCTCCCCCATATCCAAGCAGGATTAAACACAGGGGGCTTATCTCCTGGGAAGCAGATGTGCCTCCCCTCCGTAGGGTCTCTTAGCTTCTTCTAGCGTCAGGTGGGGAATGGCATTTTTCCGTATAGGATTCACCACATCAGGACAGAGAACCATGTCCCATCTGTACGTAGTCTGGCATCCCATCTCTGACAGTAGTCGGATCTTCAGAGGCAGATGAGAGAGCTGCCTTGTGTGCTCTGAAGGTGTTGCTGAGTGAGGCGTACCCTCTTCTTGAGGCCAGCAAATGCTGGAGGTTTTGGGGTGGGCAGAGGAGCACCCCGATGGGACTGTGCTCGAGTAGGGCTGCCGCCTTCTGCTCCGGCTTCCTGCGGGGTGGTGGGGAAGAGTTGCCTGAACGTTTCTTCCAAGCGAGGAGGCAGCTCTTGCGTGCTGGCTTCCCCATCCGAGATGTCTCTGCTGGGCGTTCATCTGGTGCGTGGGAGTGACTGCAGGGAAGAGGGAAGCCACCAGATGTTGGTGTCTGAACAGACGGTGGCAGGCAGGGGATGCTAGGACAGCTTTTCTTGCCTGGACTTCTCTGGTGCCCTTGGCTTTGCAGCGGCAGGTGACGGATGTCTCTGCCTCCCATAGCCTGGGCTGCTCTTGGGAACTTCTCCTCTCTCTGCCCATCGAGCTCTGTCAGTGCTTCCCATGGCCTTCAGCTTGGAGCGGCAGCCTCCTGTCTCGTGCTCTCTTTTCTCCTCGCTGAGCAGAGTGGGACTGGGGAGGCGTGAAGCTAATGAGATGCAAGCTCCTTTTGGGATGGAAGACAGAGAAATAGAGTGGGGTGAGCAGGCCCAGCTGTGGTGAGCCACTGCTTAACTTCTGTTTTCAAAAGAGAAAGGGAGCATTTCTCTGCGTCTCCCCTTACCGAAGTTCCCAGGGAGATTTT